GTGTGTGTGTGTGTGTGTCCTCCGCAGGCTCCTTCCATGGATGTGAAAAACAATTGGGTGTTGGAGATTCGTAAAGTTCTCACAGGCCAACTCGAGGCGTGCAGAGGTATACACACACACACACACACACACGAACACACACACAAACTCCTCTTCCAATGCCCCCTATTTTTATTTAGTTAAAGGTTAGAGACGATGAAAAAAACTTTTTCTTTTCCTCATTGATGGCAAAAAAGGTCAGACATTATACAATTTAAAATTAAAAAAATAATCTTGGCTTGATATTGATAAAGAAAATGTTTTTATGAACCACACAGCTTCTGGTCTTCCAAGACCCGATCGGACAAAAAGACGTGGTGCAGGCACGAAACATACTACCAATAGAAATACTTTGCTTTTAAAATCGTTCTGTGTGACAGGAAATACATGGGAAAATCGTGTTGTTGAACACGAATCAATAGATTAAATGTATTTCGTGACTATTACACGAAATGCCGTGAGACTGGGTTGGAAGCCCATAGAGCTAGCTTTAATTCACCATTTAGTTGGAAGGTTGCACAATGACCAATGGACTTTTGGAGTTTATATATAGTGCTTTGTTCACTCTTTACAACCTCTGAAAGCGCTTTACATTTACACATCATCATTCACCCATTCACACGCCATTCATACACAGCAATCGAGACAGCGAGACACAACGAAACACAGCCTCGCCGCGTCCCGCCGTCTCAGGGAGGAGAAATCGGTGGAGCTGCAGCTGAGGAAAGATTGAGTGTGTGTGAGGAAGTCCGTGGATTGGTCAATTTGGACCAATAGGGCAATGGGGCAGCATTGATGACTCTGCAGACCGTTTACATGCAGAAAGACCTTCACAACACACAAGGGGACGGGTATTAACCAGAACAGCATGACATGGGACCTTTAACTTTTCTTACCTTATGACAGTGCATACATTATTTGAGATATATTTTGGTTTAAGCACCGGATTGGCAAAACAGGAGAGTCTTTAAACCAGTCTGCTTTGATCTATGAATTAATGTCCGTGACTCTCAGAGTACCTGCTGCCCGCAGCTGTTTAAACACTCCCCCCCCACACACACACACACAAACACACGCACACGCACACACACACACACCCAGTGGCGGACTGGCCATCGGGACAAATCCCAATGGGCCGGTACCGAAGTGGGCCACTACTATGTCCACCGTTTTTTTTCATGTCCCCTTAGTGGCTCCGTATAAAACTCCTATTTATTTAGAGGCTTATATTTTGTGGCTAAAGCTAGCTAACTTAGAGGGTTAGCGGCTTTAGCCAGCCCCAGCTTTGTTATAGTAAGTGGATGTGATAGCTGCCTCCCCTGGTGCTTTGTCATTGTAGTCTAATGACAAAACAAGTGAGCCTATATATCTTTTACGCTGTGAAATTAGTTCATTGGACTATGGAATGTAAAGACATGTTTTAAAGTGGTCTACAAACGTTACAATTGTGACACACTAACACAATTCCCCAGACAGTGTGCTGGTCATGTTTAAAAAACATACTAAAAAGTGATTTGACTCTTTTACTGTTTGATTTTCTGTTATCATTACAACTCAATTGCTTCCTGTTATCATGAAAATGTTCAGTATTTATCAGCACATCTACAAGTCATCCCTCCCTGCAGTCTGCTGATAAGCTCGTCATCCTCTCTCACACTACCAAGTCAGGGAAACATCCTCTTTTCAATACTGTCTGTACTACTTACACAGAAAACACATTTTAATTTGCGACATTCAAACATGTTCACAGTTTTATGACCAGGTTGTAGCTGACAATGCATCACAATATTTAGTCAGGACTGCTTCATTTTAAGAGTTAAAAACAATTGATGAAAACTAGTGTCATATCATGTAACATATCAACAGTAGGGCTCGGCGATTTTGAAAGATAACCTATACACAATAATATTGACTCATATTGCAATTGCGATATCATTTGCGTTTTGAGAGGGGGAAAATTCAACATAATTCACATTTCAGTGAAAAAAATTAAATAAATGATATTGTGGTTATTTTACAAGAGGATCTTTACATAAAAAGGATTTTTAAGTATGTAGAATACCATTATGCCGGGACTTCTTTGAAGCACCATACTATATACAAATATGTTCACATATTTTTTCTTTGCATTAACATTTTTGTTATTGCACTCATCCATATTGCATAACGATTTAACGTTGATTAATTGTATGGCCCTAATCAACAGTTTAAACCATCATAAAAATAAGTCTTAATAATACTTTAAGCCATCTCAGGACAATTCGTAATACTCACAAGCATACAAAGGCTCAAACATGCACTTACATACATACAGTACCGCACACTTACTCTCTGCCTGTGTGTCATCGGTCAATAAAGGGAACGTGTAAGACAAAGTTGTCTTTTTTGTAAGTAAAAATTACGTACTGCAAGTTTGAGTAGTTTAATGGTGACCTACTAAATTATGTAGGCGTTTATAACGAAAACTATTTGACGGTCGTGTATTATAGAGAAGGTTTGATTAGTACATAGTTGAACCTTTCCAACAGGTATTTTACAGTACAAATACAGAAGAATATAAGGTGTACAATGTGTGAGAAGTGGAGGAACTCCGATTCTCACTGTGAGTTTTAGTCAAAACTGTATGCCTCTACGATATGAAAATGTTGCGTGTTAGACGGACGACAAACCTATATCTTGTAAACACCTGCTTTAGGTAATAAAGGACCTTCGTGTTGAGAGTTGTTCAGTGAGAAGGAAGAAAGGATTGTGAGCCCCTTGTAATCGTCGTTTTCCGACTTCAGTGTAAGGGCCCCACATATAGAGACTACCCGGGTTAAATGGACTCGTGGAAAATCGTCCTGAGTTAAACACGAAGGCTTTTAATATAAAGTAGTAAGTCTTTCGGAACTATAGAGACTTGTCATAAGTTACACAGGGAAAAGCGGTAACACAGAGACAGAAGCAGGAGAAGAAGGAAAGAGAAGGGAGAAGAAGGAGGAGGGGAGAGAGAGATGAGAGGGGAGAAGAATGGATAGGAGAAAAGAAGGAAGACGGAAGATGAAGAAAGAAGAAAGAGAGAATGAAGATAGAAGGATGAAAGACGAGGAGAAGGGAGAAAGAAGAGTAGATAAGAAAAGAAGAGACAAAGGAAGGGAAGAAGGGAGAGAAATAGGGAGAAGAGATAGAGAGGAGAAAAAGGAAAGAAGGAAAAGGATTATGAGAAGGAAGGAGTAGTCATGATGGGAATGAGAGGATAGAAGGTTAGGAGAAGGAGAGGTGAGAGGGAGGAGAGAGTGGGAATTAATTGGAAGAGAAAGAATGAAAGAGAGGATGGATGGAGAGAGGAGTGAGAAGAAGGAGAGGAAGTGAGGGAAGAGAGGAGAGAAAAAGGAGATAAAAAGAAGAGAGGATAAAAGAGAAAGAGGGAGAAAGGAAGAGGAAAAAAGGAGAGGAAGTATACTAGTAGTTACAAGATTGCAAGACAGAATTTTGTGGACTAACGATGTTTTTTTCGTTAGGGGACGTACCCCCGGTTCTTTCCGTTTCCGATCCCTTTTGTCAGCAAAATACGAGTAATGTATTAAACCTTTTTGGACGAAAGAGGGCTTACTTAATTTGGTTAAATTAGACGTTGGGCAAACAGTGTGTCGCTATTAATGGATTAGGTAAATCGGCTGTCTAGAAAAATGAGTCGGAACCGAATGACCATGTCCTCCCCACCGTCTCTCCACCATTGTGTCCTTCCACCNCCCCCACCTTCCTGTGTTACCACCTCTCCTGCCCCCCCTCTGTACCAGTAAGCACCGTCGTCAACAGTTCCACTCTGTTGCCTGACTGACAGCAGAACCCCCCCAACGTGAGCCGCACAATGTCCCTGTGTGTGTGTGTGTGTGTGTGTGTGTGTGTGTGTGTGTGTGTGTGTGTGTGTGTGTGTGTGTGTGTCACCTCTGACTCCATGTGAGGAGGGTCTAGGTAAGAGAGAATGAATTGGTGTGGGGAAAGGAGAGGGAGGAGATTGAAAGTGATGGGAAGAGACAAGACGAGGATGAGGGATGATGGGTGGAGGGAGAATAAGAGACGGACAGAGAGGAAAGAGATTTTTCAGGGTGGAGATGGAGGCTGAGAGGCAGCACAAGGGGAATGAAGGAGGCTTGAGAGAGAAGGGTGAAGAGAAGTAGGACGAAGAGGAGCCGTACTCCTTTCAGAAAGAGGAGGAGAGGAAGTGTGAATGTGAGGAGACAAGAGGAAGAGATGGGGTACAATACACAGCCTAAATGCTGTTTTGACAAAAGTAATTTAGAATCAAGGTCAAGCTTTTTCTGGACTTTCAACCACATCATTTTCTATTTGTTAGTCAAATGACGGTGTATACTGAAGATTATAAGCTATTTCCAAAGTCAAGAAAGATCTTTCACTCTTGACTGGGATCTGAGAATGTGATGAATACAGTATATATATCAGTAAGTGTAGAGGGAACTAGCAAAGGGAATAAAGTGATGTGTATTTGAATGAACTGCAAGATGTGTAAATGCTGTTCACTCATTTGAAAAGAATAGACTTTGGTTTCACTCCCCATGCTCTCTGCTCATACTGCTGTTGGCCTGCACACACCTCGATGTGCTCAGCCTTTATGAATAAAACATTGTTAGATCCATGATGAAAAAATATCTCCATTTTGCTGAATACAATATTTGGAGCATGTGGAATGGTTCCATGCTGAGTCTGCATTTGTGCGACAGGTTCATTGGTTACTGGAAATGGGAGGTGACAAGCGAGATCATTCAGAGCTTGGTATTTCACTTATGTGAGCAATGCATTTGGCCAAGGCTGCGCCTCGCTGCAGTTTCTTTACGAGATTCTTCTCCGCAGATTTCTTGTCACACAGCAGAATCCTGTGGCAGGCCACATTTGTTAACTTTGCATTTATGAAGTCGCTTGTTTAGATATGTAGCTGTAACCCCAATGACTTCAGTGTGTGGATTTTTCTTTCTTTTTTTATAGCAACACAAAGTGATTTCTATTAGGCCAATAAAAGCAGCTTACGGAGTTGACGCAGCAGTTTGGGCAATTTTATGCATGGAGATAATGCAGAAATGTTAGAATTGCACATGATGTGAAAGGCCAGAGAAGCTTTTGGTGTAAATATGTCTCCAGAGGGAACAGCCTATCAGAAATACAATGATATACGTTCGATCTTTTTGTATCCTACCCAGTATTGGTTCTTCTTCCTTATTATTTAAATAGCTTTGTCTTTTACGAGGACTCACCTTGAACACAGCTACTATTCTGTCCAGTATCCTTCATGTCCTGTACAGCGAAGCATTTTAACAGGACCGGTCCAGGTTCCCAAAGAAGCTTAGCCGATACTAGAAGGTGGGGGTAAATCTTTGCAGAACACTTATTGGTCAAAGAGAATCATCAACATCTTCTTGAACCCTACGCCATACACTTGACAAAGTAAAGATATAGCTGACACTTTTGTATGAAACAACTTACATACACTTCAATACTGTCTACATACCTACAGGAGCATTTGGGTATCTTACATTGTTGACTAGGGGCTAGTGATTGAACAATTGATCCTCCAATTGGTAGACACCCATTTACCCTGAGCCAATGTTGTGGTGGCAAAGCAAGGATTAAGGCTAGAGTTAGGGTTAGTGCCCCATTTAAGATGTTTCTTTTACTTGCCATTGTCAGGTCCCCATTCACAGTGGGTAATCAAACAGATAAAAAGCACTTGGTACCAAAGATGTAATGAAGTGGATCACAATGCAGTTGGAAATGTTGCATAAGGCATTCTAGGTTCGTATACTTAAGACCTCAGTCATCAAGGCAGCAGATCAGAAAACGGTCACCAAAAATAATTCTGTATGAGTAGGGTTAGGGTTATGGACCACTGTTGAGGTACTGAAGGAACAATGTCACAATTAAATCTAATGTCTTTCTTCTGTTCACAGAAGCAAGCCAGCACAACATCTCTGGGGCCCCGATGAGGTGAGCACCCAACATCCACACTCTCACCAACAAGAGTTTAAAAAAGTACCATTACATAGGTTTTGCACTGGATCTCAATTATGCTTATCCGATCATTCAATATAGGAAAGGGAATTGATTGGATTGTGTAAATTAAGTAAGAGTCATTATGATTCAGCAATTCCATCCAAAAGAAAATCTTTAGAACTTGGTATACCAGATATCTGGTTCAATGTTCCTTGTCCTTCTACTCCATGTACTCCAGGAATGTCTACAAGAAGGCACTGAGACAGTCGGATTCATCAAGTCCAGAGCCAGGCTTCAGGAGATCCAACCCCAGCCCTAACATGAGGCAGAAGAGAGGTAAGAGCTACATACCTTAGAACAGACTCCAAACTAAATAAACTCTTCATACACTCTTGTTTCCTGTTCTTCTGCAAACACACACAATCTCAAACACACTTATCAACCCTTCGCACACATAGTCAAAACCAGTCAGGGATAGCAGGACAGCCTTTCCACACACACACACACACACACACACACACACACACACACACACACACACACACACACACACACACACACACACACACACACACACACACACACACACACACACACACACACGCATCTCAGGCAGCATCTCTCAGCTTAAAAGTTTCAGCATTCCGTCCAAGGCCAGACAGCTTGTTGGGATTCAGCGAGGGGACTCTTATCTAAAAGAGATTGAAAGCATGCCGATAGACACCTTGGCTTAGGTAGGAAACATTTTAGATTGTAATAAATCATGGAGCCAGATACACACCAGGTGTGAAACCTCTTTTTAGTGTTTACCTGACATAATAAAAAAAGTACAATTTATTTTTGATCAGAGCAATGCCGAGAAAAAGTTCAAAATATAATGTTCCATCAAGATCAGGTCACATCCGTAGAATATTAAACTGCATATTTGTATGAACAATATATCAGAATATAATATCGGATTATTCGACTCAAACCGCCTCAAGACGTTGCATTTTTGTCACACTAAAAATATCTACATTATAACCCATGCGGAAATAATTACCATTAGCCAAAGCTTTTGACACTAATGTTTCTTCACTAGGCACACATTGTGAATGAAAACAAGGCTTCTTACTGTTAAAATAGCCTTTAAATATCCGAGGCGAAGGCACTCTACAGTTTGGATGTGTTTACTTTCCATATCAGCTTTTGAAAGTCAAATGTATATTGTGTAGGGCAGACTATGAAATGGTATTTAGTGTCTATGATGTTTTAAGTGGATTGAGGTTAAATAACAGCTATGTTTGGGCATGTGTTTTATGTCTATCTGTTTGCTCAGTGAGGAAACCATTGCATCAGATGGGCAGCTCTTCGCTCCGCAGCATGTGGTGGAGATCCATTCTGAATGGGGCCGCAGTAGTTTTTGTAAAGTGGTAAATTACAACATCTTCTGAGGTGGTTTTGGATACTGATTGCTAAAACGTACTTCCTTCAGACAGCTGTCAGACATATCACACAGAGCAAAGTGCAGTGTCAGTGATTTGTGTCTAAACAGATGACCATCTTTCATGTTGAGATGGATTTACACCGGCTGTTAAAGTAATTGAAAAAATAACCTTGCTGTCAGAGGATGGCTAACAGAACCACAAGACTGCTTTTCTATTGGAATGTCGTTTTCTGTAGCCCAAGATACACAGAAACAATTGTGTGTAAGAGCAAAGAAAGCAAACATAATTATTACTGAAGGAATTTCTCATAAGAAATGTACTTACAGTACAATACATGTAGCTTTTGCACAAACAAAACAACCACCCACAGATACAATACATAAGTGTATGGTTACCATCCGCTTGTAGTGTAGAAGGAGAGGTGAACGAGGCAACTGCTAGTTTTTTCATACATATTTAACACTTTATCTGGATCAAGAAAGCCTTTGTTATATATACAACATTCCAAACATCCCACAAAAGGCCGACCAATACTAGGATACTGTATAAAACTAAATATATACCGGTATATGAAAAATCTTAGAACTGTAAAATGTGTTGATCAGAACGTGTAACCGGTTTAAGGTAACGGTTGTGTTAAATACATTGATTTTATTTAACAATAAGGTAGCATTAATGCATGATATACTATTATGTAATATTATCTCATTCATGTAAGGGATAATGTTCAGCGAGGCGGTCATTATGGGGAAAAGAACACCCGACAGGCTCACCAGCGGTCTGTCTGTCCTGGATTAACAACGTGTCACGTGGTCTGAATTGACCAATCATAATCGAGTATTCAACTAAGCCATGTAATAAAAATCAATATCTTTGGGTGATCTCGTTGGAATTAATAAAAAAAAACATTATATATTTGTATTTGTCATGTATCTGCTTTGTGTATAGCCCTTTCCCAAGATGCAGTGGGGTTGCACCTGTTTGGTATTTAATGTCAAGACTCACTTAGTTTTCAACGCATACATACTTTATGCAGTTAAATATTGTACCGCACAAGTACATAAATACTCTATTAACTCAAGGATAATTTATGATAATTAATTCCTACTAATTTCAACATGCCCCATATGCTCTCTGGGGTGCAGCATGACTAAAATAGATGCAGGGTATGTACATCACTGATCCCCCGTTTTACTGTTCTAATCAGTTTGTACTGTAGTTTGGTCAAGACATTTGGACACATTGGGCTAAATTACTTTTTTTAGTCCTACATAGTGTGTGCAGGTCTTCTTGTTATTCTCAACGCAACTGTTACAACCTCTAGCAATATGTTAGTGCAGGCCTACAGTATAGCCTGTGGGGAGAAACCCAGGGCAAAAAAGTCTGGGTAGCTCTCGCAGCTGCTTGTTAAAGGGGCCCGGTGGAGTTTTCTTAGTTATATTTACATTCAGTGTTACTCACAAAATGCATTATGTACAGTATGTGCCTGAGCTCTAACAAATGTATTGACTGTACTTCCATCCCTATACAACATGAGCACTGCATATTTCTTACGTATTAAATTGAGCAGTGTTTATATGTATTTTTACTAACTCATATAGTCTTTGTGTTTTTAGTGTCTTCATTTCAGTCCTCCTTTCTCTCTAAGATAAGATGAGATGTACATTATTGATCCTAAAATGGGATTTTTTTGCGTTGCAAAGGCATCAAAAACAAAACAAGGTATTGCACATAATTAGAAAATAAAGAGTATAAATAAACAATAAAACAGCATTAAAAAGTAGAAAATATACATTTTGAAGATACAAATCGATGAACTCTGACAAAAAACACTATTGAAGCGGCAATTTTCAGTTAACACAATAGAAAGCAGGATATTATTTACATTAAGAGTCTAGAGAATGGAATATTACATTAAATATGACTGTACAATCTAGTCATTTAGTTAAGGATTTGTTCATGTCTTTAAAAGCTACTTTCAGATAGGAATAATTACAGATACCTGTGGTTCCTGTATGAAAATAATGCCACACATTATATCATCTGCAACATTTTTGGCTTTGTTTTTCTGACAATTTGTCTTTCAGATAGAAAAACAGAACTTAGTGGTCCATGTGCCATGGAACTTGGTGGAAGGGGGTAGCATGGGACAAGGAAGAAACTATTTAATGTCTAAGCAAATCTGAATCACTGGGCAGATACATCTATCTAGATATATTTCACCTTGGTAAACATTGCGAGACAGGGTATTTGGGCAGATATCAACGTTAGAAATAAGAAACAAAACACATTATTTTCATGGTCTATGTTGTTTTCACATCACGACTCATGAACACAGCCAAGCCGGGAGAACACATTCCCTTGGGTTGTGCTCTTCGAGTGCTATTCTAGGTATTCAATGAAAAAAAAAAAGGGACATAATGTAACTGTGCCTGATTCAGACTGAGAGTGTGTGATGCATGCCCCTCTTGTATAGAGTGTGTGCCCTCCCCTCCCGTTCCTCATCTTCAGACTTAATTGAACAAAAGAATAGGATGGAGAGTCTCGGCTCTTATTGCATTCTGCAGAGTTAATTAGACGGGAGAATAAACTAGGGGGACTGATACAGCTCAGTTAGCAAACAAAAGCAGGGAGGGAGGGAACGGGGAGGTCTCCGGCTGCTTCCATATTTAATATTCTTAATTCCATTGAAATGAATTTGGCTGAGGCCCCCCAGGCTCTGTTACAGTACATTCAGTCACACTGCTGAGACTCGCTCTGTTACTAAAGGTGCTGTGTTGTTTTCGGCCTGTAGGGGGCAATTTAGTAGCGTGGCACCATGGTTGTACTACAGGGGTTTACTTTATTGTGTGTATGTGTGTGACAGTGAAAGCTTCTGTGTTCAACCCAAAATCAATTCAGTTTAAGTCGATTTCCTGGAAAATCCAGATACTGAGCAGCAGGAGGAGGTTGACACATCCAGGCTAACAAGACATAATTAAAGATGAATGGTTTTTCATCAACACATTAATTGCTGCCTCAATTTACATATGGAAATGAAAGTTTATTTACCGGTGTGTTTGTGTGTGTGTGTGTGTGTGTGTGTGTGTGTGTGTGTGCCTCTTTCTGCTTTTAAATGGCACCACTTGGTGAGGATTAGCGATAGCGTCTTATTTAGTGTTTTAATTGAAAGGCCGGTGCAAAACGAAGTGCTCTATATCCTAATCACACGTACTTAACCTCGTGAAAGAGTTTTCAGTTTGTGACGCGTCCGCTTTGATGAAAAATAAATATGAGTTGGAGTTACTGTACAGCTTCTCAATGGGAATGCTGGCACAGCTGCAGCAACAAAGAAGCCAGGATGAAATGTTACTGGAGTCAAACAGATTTTTATCATCACTCTTTCTGTATCCCACTGAGGAGTTTTTTTTTTTGCTTCCATGCTTATGTTTGGAGAAAATGAACTAACAGAATTACCTATAAAGCAGGCCCCCGGCGCAGGAGCATGAGACCGCTGAGATATGTTAATCAAGATGTTTTTCATTCCACATGCCAGCTGAATTAGCCTCCCTCCACCGAGTGTTGATAAGTGAGAGTGGAGAGAAATGTGTACTGGTTTGAATACTCTCTTTTTCAATCATTCACTTTTGCCTGAATCTTTTTTCCCCCCCCTTAAGATTATGCAAAGCACGAAATAAACAACGGAGGTCATTTTCCAATCCAACCCAATTCTTTCACCAATCTCGCAGCCCATTTGACAAGTTATGAAGTGTTGGTGATGATTAGTCACGACTCAACATCAACACACACTGAAATGGAACTGCAAGAAATCCCAGGTTGTATAATCCCTTTTAAGCAGTTATTTAAAGCTATACTTAGTTTATTATTTATTTTGCTGTCAACACACGCTGAAGATAGAATCAGCA